ATCACACTCTAACTATATATCTTTTAAGAAACAATTTCGCAAACTTCACTTCCTCTATTTAGATTAACTGTCTACATATGACAATTCTTATCTTCTTAGCTAGAAGCATATTGCACCAAGACTTTGTAAAATTTTTAGAAAAAGGAAACCTTTTTGGTTTACAACCCTTGAAGATTTAGTATTAAATCACAATAGCAACAGAACATTTTATGAACAATATAAACTTCCTAATATTAATTACTATAGCTTTTCTACTGGTTACTTCTCTTTAAAATCAAAGCTATGGCTTATAACTACTATTGAGGACCAAATAATAGTAGGCAAAGTAAGAAAATGGATCACTCCAACTGGTCTTGTTCTTATTACACACTGGCAATGCTTCTTTTTACCACAATTTATCAAATTATATCCAATTCAATCTATTAATTTTAGTATATGTCCTGGCTGTTCTTACAATTCTAATCTTATTATCAATAGATATACAATATTTATCTCTATTAATTTAGCGTCTAGATTTTTCTGTACTTACAACTTTCAAGAAAAAACTATTAAACCTTATACTAATCACTTAGATTTAATATATTCTATTGCAATTCGTCATCTTTTTTATATTCTATCTACTCCTAGTATTCCTTACAACCCTGCTTCAATTCCATCTATATTTGAATCTGGATCTCTTACTAATACACTTCAAACTATTGCCAACTCTAATATCCAACTTTCTGAAATTACCTTCTATACAGATGGCTCTGTCTGAGACTTTGGTACACAAGACTACTCCATGGGTATTGGATGGGTCAAATCTATCAGAACAATATATTATACAAATTTCAGGCACAAATCAAATACTGGCTATGCTCCTTCAAGACAGAACTTGTTGCTATATTGTTAGCAATTAGCACTGCATCTAGATTTTGTACTATTCACATTTTCACAGATTCACAATCTGTTATCTCCAAATTTAACAGCCTTCAAAATTCACCACATTCTCTTTTCTTTACAAATACTCCATATTCTATATTATAGTACACCTTTATCAACTTCACTTGACGTACTATCCATACTATATGTTATTCACATATTTATGCTTTGTGGTCTTCTCCGTACAGATTTCAATAGTGGTCTCATATTGCTGCTCATATCAACTAGTCTGCTACCTGGTATTATATTAATAACAACCAAAAAATTTCAAATTTTTTACATAGCTTCCAATTCTCTACTCTTAAATCATTTCAAATTAAAACTCTTCTTGATGAGTTGCCTACTCCTTATATACTGTATAAATGTAATCATTACGTCTCACCCAACTGTCATCAATGCAATCAAATTAGTACACCACTACATTGGGTTACCTGCCCATCATCTGCACTATTGCACAATCTTATCGATAATTCTCTACAACATGTTATCAACTCAACATCATTGGATGTCTCACCTGAAGTAATTACTACAATTCATAATCAAATCAAACATCTTGACAGTATGACATTTAATTACAACCAACGTACTCCATCTATTAACTCTACTTTGTCTGGGCTAGTTCCACTTGATATTATAAATCTACTCAAGGACATCACTTCATCTCTATCTTGGCGTCAACTATTACTATCAAATTTCTTTTATACCTTAATTCACAAATTTATCACAACATCTGGATACCTTATTGTATCTCTCATTCCTCAATTCAATCTTCTAATAATGCTACATCTTCTTTATCAGTCTTATCGCTTTTTACCTATCAGCTTTTTAACCCCACCACTTACTATAGCTAGTGTTAAAATTGGACTATGATATCCTTTATGGATCAAATATCAAACAAATTTAAACTATATAATTACTAATTCACAAATTTAGATGAGCCATGGCCACCCTAGTTGGTTTAGGTTGCAGATAAATTAATCTGAGTTTCTTTTCTTGCTATCTTAGGATATAAAATTTAAATAGATTCTTTTTTGTAAGGATTTTCTTTTCACTGTAAAAGAATTAAATTTTAATAAAGTCAGAGAAATGGTCTTACCATTAATATTCAAAAAAAAAAATAAACTATATTTTAAAGAAAATTATATGAAAAAAGATTTGATGATGATATTAAAACTAAAATGGAATTATTGTTAACTGCGAAAGTTGAAGAAGTAGATTTGATATTTAATGAATTATTTATGTCCGATAAAAATCTTACAGGTAAGTTTTATAAAATTATAATTAACAGTTAATATATTATTTTTTAAATAATCTATTTATTTTTTTTAAAAAATAGATTGGGTTCAATATTATAAAAAGCATTATATTATCGCATCACTTAATCCGAATATTTCAAAGATTCCAAATAATTTGTGGTATGCAGCCCCTAATAATACAAATTGTGCAAAAGCAGCACACGCTATGAGTAATCAAGAAGGCAAGCAACTTAAATTAATGACTGCGATATTAAGGTTTGCTTGTATTAATAAATTATAATATATATATATTTTTTATATTTTATTATTTAATTTTTTTTTTTTTTAGAGGGCAAAAATTGGATATGCACAATTTTAAAAAAATAAATATAAAGGCCAATTATAATGTTAATTTGAGTGGTAACGATAAAGGTGGCATTGCAAGAAAAAAATTGGCAATTAAATGAAGCAGTTAATTTTTTTTTTATTTAAAAAATATTAATTTAAGTTTTATTTATATTTATTAATTGTATTTATTTTATGCATACTAATAGCTAAACGACAATCTAAAGCCTGCTCTTCAACGAAAAAACAAAATAAAAAACGGCAAATATCACAAGTAATCGATTTAACTGTTGATATATTTCAAGAATCTCAAAAAATAAACTTAGATAATAATGAATCTAAAGAATCTGACATGACTATGCTGGAAAAATTAGAATATGAGGAGCGGTTGCTGATGATTGCGGAATGCAAAGAAAAATTAAGAGCGAATTTCTAATGCTATAAAAGAGCGTGAATATGGTCTCGGGGACCCTAAAGATTAAATATTCACATATATATATGAGAATATATATAATAAATAAAGGATGATTGATGCTTACAGCTTGTGTTTCGATATTGCATAAATATTTGGGTAAAATCCTGTTTAAAGGTTGAATTGGTGATCTTTTTTTTTTGTACGTTATGTACCGATTTGAAAGCAAATTATTTTTCGTCATAATTATCAATTACTTTCCCCATTACTACATTATCAATTACTTTCCCCATTACTACATTATTAATTAATTACATCATTAATCGATCAAATTAATTTTTCTTACGTATTAATTATATAAATATGATCTAATCTACACTTCCAACCCGATTAAATTAATTATCATATATTATGTGGACAGATCACCCTTATGACCAATAAAATAAGCCAAAAATTTTAAAGTACCATATATCTATATACAAACTAGTATAATCGACTCAAAATTGTTTTATACATTTATGTATATTATATGCTTTTCTTAAAAAAAAATTAGTATACTTATATGTAGACTATACGCTTTTCTTTTTTTATTGGCCTACGCAACGTCTTTTATGCCATTAACCTTACGATTATAAACAACACCTATCTTGCTGCACTACGCCAACAAGACACATACGTACGCCAATAACTCCTGATATCATCGTTCCCTTTTCACAGCCAAATGGTACTTGTGAAGTTGCAGAAAGATCCATGAACAGAGGTAAATTAACAGTAAATGATGATGAAAGATTTAAATAGAACATTTCGTCTGATAGATTGAATTGATGAGTTTTATTCCATGCGGTTGAGGTCGTAGGTATAGGTCGTGAACCTCCAACAAAAAAAATTTTATCATTATACAATGCTGCCATGTGACCACCACATGGCTCTGGTTTAAAGGAATGAACATTGAGAAGATTCTGCGAAAACGATAAATAAAAATTATGCTCAACATAAAAAATGCGTCTTTGAAATTCGTAGTTAACATATTAAAGTAGCTTATAATTAATATTTAACAACTTAGGATGCACCTAATTAAATTTTTGTATGGTGTTACGATAAACAAAGTGTTTCGGTAAAAGTAAATATTAAAAAAAAAACAGAATTCGTACGTACTGTCGTGGGCTAAACGGAACGACCTATATACAATAAAAGTAAGGTATCGTACAAAGTTACTCAACGGTTTAGAGGCGGGAACAATTTGGCAGTCTAAGGCTATAGTTGAGTATTGTTACAATGGGTAATTCGGCAGACTTAAAGAGCGTTATAGGTTTTTTTTATTTGCACTTAGATGGTTTTTATTTATTAATTAATTGTGTAGAGGCAAATTACACATACTAATGCTTTGACGAGAGAAGTTTGACCTTTTATTTATAACAAACTACAGGGTAAGAAAAGAACGAAATCGAACATTTCCTCCTCTCTTTTGTCATTAGACTGTCATTAAACTCAAGTTATATGACTCTTTGCACACAGCCATTATCATTGAAACATTCTACAGAAGGGAAATGAAGGCAAGTCAATTGAAGGCTTCTACGCTGTCATTATTCTTTACCTGTTGATTCATTGACTCATTCATTGACTTATTCATATTTTTCTTGCATTGCCACACACTTAACCTGACAAGGTAATAGTACCTTAACAATTGTCAAACTGAATTGTGAGTGGTCTATTTCTGTTTTTTACATTTTGAAGAAAGATGAAGAAGAAGAAGAATAAGAAGTAATTGCAAGTAGTAGTGGTAGCAATAATA